TATTTAACGTCACAGAATTAATAAAAATGAAAGGCATGGAACTTAATGCACCACTGCACCATATTCCAGGGACAATGAAACAGCAACAGCAAAAACTCCACCTTAATACGGCCACTTCTACCCTCAGCTCACCAGCATTCAAGACAAATAAAAAGTGATTCTCACTCTAAAGGTTGTACAGTCTCTCTGTTACAGCTCTGGGTAAAGGATCCATGTATGCTTTGTCAGGTTTAAATGTATTCATTTGCAAATGTTTTTCTTGAAGTGAACAGGTGACAATTACACTGTTTAATTTACAGCTCAAACAGTGTTTAATTTTCACCTTAATAATTTTTTAAAGTAAATTTAAATTCAAAGTGAAAAATGTATTTTAGCCTTAGTGATGTGTGCAAAACGTTCTTTCTGTAGTTTACTAGAGGAAAAGGAAAATATAAATCATAGGTTTCATAACAAAATAGTGTATCTCTGAAAGGGTGGGAACGGAAGGAAAACGTTCCTGTGAAAAAGAAGAAATGCTCAAAAACAAAAAAGAATAAAAAAATTACAACTATACCATCTAAATAAACATCTAAACAAATTTAAGACTCAAGAAATAATTATAAAGGTGATTAATGGTGAAAACCATTAATCCGGCCATGGGGAACTATTTTCTGACTTTTGTAAAGGACATCACACAAGAGATTTGTGATCACTATTCAAGTACTAAGAGAGGTGAAGAGCTCCTCCAAGAACTTCTCCACTACAGGTTTGATACACCTTAAAAATGACATTCTGCTTGATATCAGAAAGCAAAGTCCCTGTGAGAACAACAACAACGTCATCTGTAGCCACAGTTTTTGAAATGACTAAAAACTCAAAAAAACCGAGCCGAAGTGCAAAACAAAAAATAATGGAATTCACTGCCTTGAGTGACCAACTGTTCTCTGCTGTGAGGATGCTGGATTCCGTGGCACATACACTGGCCTGCATACTAGAATAATAATATTAATTTTATTTTATGCACATTTTTTAATCAGCTTTGGTTACTGGTGTTCAGTTTCAGCTAAGCATTTTCATTTTGGTGCATCGCAACAATATATAGCAGCACTGACAAAGGGTTGGACGAACTAACTCACTGGCAGCCTATGACTGGCACGTTGAAAGTCACAGAGCTTTTCAGTAAGACCCATTCCAGATTTCAAGGCTGTATGCTTGATTTTCCACACCCATTAGCAACTATGTGACTGAAATAGCAAAATACAGTGAATAGAATGGATGTCTGAATACTTTGGGCCATTATCTACACTGCTGCTCACATTACTGCTAAAATAACAGCACATAAACAGGAATGTCAGCCATATTAGTCTACTAGAATGTGCTTATGTACTGAATAACACCAGTCTCAATTATTCCCATCTAGTGTGTGGAAACAAACACCCTGGAAATTTGTTTTGTTTACAGATTACTGAATATCTGATAACTCTTCAGAAAATAGCTCATAGCCAACAGTTACAGAGACCAGAAGCTGTGGTCCCAAACTGACCCTCACATTTATTATCAGTATGTGACTCACAATAACTTCAACAATCAATTAACTATGATGTCCAATAATGCTGAAATTAGTTATCAACTTTTTTGTCCACCTGCTACTGCGGGTGGTAGAGTGCAAAATCTACCAGCCACTCAATATTTTATTGGCAATGCATAACTGTAGGTTAAAAATAATACAAGATCCACAATATTTAAGCATGATTATTTAAGTAAATAAGCTTTTTTTGTTTCATAAGGTAAATTCAACTCTATTAAACTCTTAAGGAGAAAACTCACTCACTCACTCACTCACTCACTCTCTCTCACTCACTCTCTCACTCTCTCACTCTCTCTCTCTCTCTCTCTCTCTCTCTCTCTCTCTCTCTCTCTCTCTCTCACTCTCTCTCTCTCGCACACGGACTTTACATTGCTGAGCTAATATTACATGACAGCTCTGACATTATTTCAACATTTAATCTAACATAAGTAAATAAGACTTGAAAAAAATTACGATGTACTTGCATTACCATGTACACCGATCAGGCATAACATTATGACCACCTCCTTGTTTCTACGCTCACTGTCCATTTTATCTGCTCCACTTACTATATAGGTGCACTTTGAGTTTTTAAACAGTGTCCACTCACTGTCCACTCTATTAGACGTACCCACAGGATGCTGTTGTGTCGTGTCTGATCCACTCAGACCAGCACAACACACACTAACACACCACCACCACGTCAGTGTTACTGCAGTGCTGAGAACGATCCACCACCCAAACAGAACCTGCTCTGTGAGGGTCCATGGGGGTCCTGACCACTGAAGGACAGGGTAAAAGGGGGCTAACAAAGTATGCAGAGAAACAGATGGACTACAGTCTGTAACTGTAGAACTACAAAGTGCACCTATATAGTAAGTGGAGCTGATAAAATGGACAATGAGTGTAGAAACAAGGAGGAGGTCATAATGTTATGCCTGATCGGTGTATAATCTTGAAACAGACTTCCTTTTTTTCGTGACTGCATGGACATTCCTAAACAGTATTCTGATCTTCTCCAACTGGGGGGTCTTCAGGCTGACAAGTGCCTTCAAGGCAGCTGTATCCTACTGGGGCTGATTTTCCCTGTACTGTTTTACCTGGATGTGGCATTTTTATTCGAGGTCATTTACGGCTTCCAATTTCAGGTTTTTAGTCCCACCAATGAAACTATTAGTCCTCTTACTGGCATCCAAAGCGTGCTGAAGACATACTGAACAGAACACTGTCTGGCTTTTCTCCTCATGAACTAACCAATCACAGCACGCTCCATTGTCAATTTTTCTCCACTTCTCATTAAAAAAAACATCTTCTGTCCTTCGCCTTTTCAGCCTGTGTCTCCTCCTGGGAGGTTTTTGGTGCAGACCTCTTAACACCTGCGATGTAACGCCACATTGTTTTTTGTTTGTAGCCTAGGCTACTTGACCTGAGGTGATTCTTTTCAAATGCTGGTCGCTAGTAAGCGTTTCATGCCTGAGATGCTCCACATTAAAGTGTCTGAGTGAAACAACGCAATTGAGATTCAATCTGCATTGTGGAAAGCCACAAATAACTCTGTCACAACTGCATTATAAGTTTGTATATGGTATTTTTATTTACCCTGTGGCTGGCAGGTTAAGCAAATTCACCTGCCACTACACAAAATCACCCAACATCATGGGTGTCGGGTGCTAATTTCCAACACCGATGCCCTTCTTCAGACGTTTCCTTTTGCTGTTGCCTCCATTCAAAGTTCTGTCTATGCAACAGGCAACTTTCATGGAGTAACGACGCAACAGAAGCCAAACTGACCCCCAATGTTTTCATGTAATGCACTGCAAACAGTTAGAATGACTGCACATATATATCACAAGAACCACATGGTACATTCAGCATTTGTAGTACACATTACATCAAAAACAAAACACCAGAGACATTTTTTCTTGATAGACGTCACCACCTAATCGCTGCAGCTCTAATACCATTCTCCCTGCTCCAACACATCTGATTCAGCTTATTAACTAATAACCAAATCCTTTGTGAGCTGAATCAGGTGTGTGAGGGCAAAAAAAGCATGAATCTGCAAGACTGTGGTGGTCCCAGGGCAGCAAAATGAGCCGCTAAATGACGACAGCACTCCTGACTGAAGACACCACAAGCTCTGCACGAGATCATTTCACTTGAAATGAGGTGAAAAAAATGACAACAAATACAAAAGTAGGGTGATCTACCTCACATCACACAGATCAATGAAAGATGGTAAAGGGAAACTGATACTTGTTGACCCTGTTTTGGCATAGCTTAGACATTTGGTATGTAAAGCAAGTGATATTTCACAATTTAGTCAATTAGCCAAGCTAAAATGACAAGTTTAATGACTTCCAGTTTAGCCAAAGAATGTCTGGGCAAAACCATGAGACATTATCACACTTTGTTTTGAACAAAATCGCCTGCAAAAACAACGGCTGTGGTAGGTTATTTTGCATGTCAGTCAAAAGGCTCTTTCTGTCACAGTAAGTGGTTCTTGGCGATGGCAAATTATGATATGCATGAGACTCTCAGAAGACAAGCAGAAGCCTGGCTTGTGAGACAATATGCGAAAAGCCTTAACCTCTTATTTTCCAGGGTATATTTTGGTTTGTCCATCTGAATTTACACGACCAAACCGTAAGACAAATTATTCAGTAACTGCATGAAATGAATGTAAATTTTTATTTTATTTATTTATTTATTTTTTGTAAAAGCTTCTCCCAAAAATTAACAGAACATGTGTTTTATGATCATACACATATTGCTATATGCTTACAATTTACTGCTGAAAGCCAAAAATCTTAGACGCTCTTTGTATTATTTTATAAAAATTGTGAGTTCAGCTTCTTTTATTATAAGGGTTTAAAATCACATTACCCATCTATTTGACTGGAAAGAAGACAGTTACAGCTCTCATACGACACCCACTTTTTGAGTGTAGCTTATGAAATGTGTGTGTGTGATAAATTGATCTACATATAGACCATTACTAATATATATATATATATATATATAGATATATATATATAGATATATATATATAGATATATATACATACACACACACATACATTATTATATATACACACACAGACACACATAATTATATATATATATATATATATATATATATATATATATATATATATATATTACACTTACAAACACACACACACACACACAAGTTAGCTATTATTCTAATAGCTAGCTTGTGTGTGTGTGTGTGTGTGTGTGTATGTTCAGCCATGCCTGATTAGTGTGCAACATTCATGCTGCATCAGATTTTCCTTTGAATGGTTCCTCTTACATCTAGCACTCCATTTCTGCTTTTATCAGTGCACCAGCCTGAGCTGTTTTATGCAGTATACATTAGGTAGCCAGCTACAGTACTTTGAGACTCCTATTATACAGATGCTCTGTGGTGTTTTGGAGGACAGGGTACTCACTCAGTGTGGCCCTGGAAGACATTGACAGAGTGGATGGAGGGATCTCTGAAGTCCCAGAGCCTGAAGGTGGTGTCTCGGGATGAGGTGACCACCAGCCGCTGGGTGGGATGGGTGCAGCAGTGGGTCAGTTCCTGATCATGACCTGCACACACAGACACACACAAGTCACAAAGTCAAATACGAAAAAGCTCATTAAAAAGATCAACATATGACAGAAGACACAACTAATAAAATGAACCTCAATAAAAACTTCATTAAGCAGCAAATCTTCTCTAACCTGTGAGTGTGTGCACGAGTTCAGAAGTCTCCACGTCATACAGGTTAGCAGCTCTGTCCCACGATGCAGTCACCACCTGCTTCCCTCCAACCAGCCAGTCAGCAGCGATCACAACCCCCTGGTGGCTCCTCAGGGTAGTGCTGGCTACACGCACGGTGGGGCATTCGTTCGGCCCATCGGCTTCTCCATCTGCCTCGTCTTTATCGGAGAAATCCACATCATCGTCCAGCGAGGCCTGAGGGAGGGAGACCAGTAAACTACAATTCATCTTATAACCTCATTTCACCTTTGCTCACACAGGACTCCTAATGTGTCATTTGATGACCTGACACATATTTACTCATAAATGAGATTAAAGAGGGGTTGAGAATGTGACGGGAAGTGAATGAAAGTAAAACAGGTCTCGAGAAAAAGAGTTCTTTTACATGACATCATTAATGATGGATGAACTGAGAGAACGTCAGAGGACAGTGGAAAGATAAGGTCCCTGAACACTGACTGAACATATCACTGTTGTCAGAACAAAACCTCGTATCTCCGAAATGGTAATTTTACAGGAGAAGGAAAAAACAATACTTTACTTTTAATGTAAGTCAATGGAACCAAACTTCTTTCCAAGTCATTTTGGGCCGTTTCTGTTGGTCTATTTATCATGAAATCTACACACAGTGTAAAGGGCAACAGGCATTTTCAAATTTTCCAAAAACTGAAAAACGACAAAAATGTAGATTTTGTTCTGACAGCAGTGATGTATGAGGAGAGAGAGAGACACAAAGTGAGAGAAAGAGTGTTAGAGAGAGAAAAGAAAGGAGAGAGACAGCTAGAGAGAGAGGTGAGAAAGAGCAACAGAGCAAGGAAGAATGAGAGAGAGAGAGAGAGGGAAAAGGAAAGAGAGAGAGAGAGAGATAGAGATAGAGAGAGAGAGAGAGAGAGAGAGAGAGAGATATGGAGAGAAAGAGAAAGTGAGAAAGAGGGAGAAGGGGAGAAAGGGAAGAGAGAGTGGGTGTGGTTTAAACACTTACGCTGATGTCGGCCGGTGGCTGAGGAAGAGGCAGCTGCACCATGTACCGCCAGATGTGAGCCGTCTGGTCGCCAGACGCTGTCAGAACACACACGCACACAAAGACAGATGATAAAGTCTGAATATCGTAAAAACATGTAAATAAACAAACAAACAAACACAAACAAACAAACGAGTGTTGTCATTTATTATAGCATCAAAACCACTGAACAGACAGACAGAGAGAGAGAGAGAGAGGAGAGAGAGAGAGAGAGAGAAGAAGAGAGAAGAGAGAAAGAGAGAGAGAGAGAGAGAGAGAGAGAGAGAGAGAGAGAGAGAGAGAAAGAAGAGAGAGAGAAGAAAGAGAGAGAGAAAGAAAGAGAGAGAGAGAGAGGTAAAATCAATGAACATTATGGAAAAAGCATTGAAAAATGTTGCCTGAACACATTCACACTCAATCCCAATATAAAATGCATGTGAAAGGCACAGTATCAGCAGGAATCATTCTAGTCACACAGACAGGCAAACCTGTAAGAGCCATCTGCTCTGTGGGATGAAACTTGATTGAGTTGACTGCAAAAACAAACAAACAAACAAACAAAAAAAGTCACTCAAATGTAAAAGTTTTAAACATTCGTCACTTCAAACTTATGTGAACATTATACATTTCATGATACATGATGTCAGAATACAGTTTAAAACATATAATGCAGCTAGTTCTCATCAGCAAAACTACAGAATGCAAACAGAGCAACATCATAGCACAGCAGACGTGGGCGATTTGATAACACTGCTGTGATGTCAACAATCCTGACCTGACATGGTCGGCAACTCTGCTGATTAATTTTGCACACATTTAATAGTGCCAAAGTTTGGGATGCAATACTATCAAATAATTTATCACAAAAGAAATGGCTAGATTGGAAAAAAAGTTTCTGCAGGGCTGCTGTACAATTTTCAAATCAAATTTAATTCAAACACACACGCACAGCTCAAAAACGACTCTATCCTGAACTGTTAGGCTGTAAAAATACTTAAAATGTGATGACTATTCTCACCTTCAGCATTATATGTAAAATGCATAGACTGTATAGTAAACTGAATGAAGCAGTAATGGCTAGTGTTACAACAAACCTGCATCATCATAAAGGGCTTTTTAAGGAATACAATTTGTATTTATCCACTTTTGAAGGCCCTCAATGAAAATAAAAATCCACATATTAATTCATGTTTATTCCTGACAGCAAAGACGATTAGAAAAAGCCATTCTGGCAATCATGACTTGTTTTAGACCTCACATTTCATAAGCTACAATTTTTCCACAAGGGGGCGCCATTAGCAGCCAAATAGCTTTTGATGCTTCATAAAAGCATACAAATAAATGTAAGATTTCTACATAGGCAGGACGCAGCTTACTTTTAGTATGAAACAGGGTCCATTTCATAAAGCTTCTCAGAGTAGGAGTGCTGATCTAGGATCAGATTTCTTCCTTATTCATGATGACCATACTGACAGAAACAGATCCTAGATCAGTACTCTGAGCTTACTGAATATGGGCCCAGGTCTTCTTACAGAACCGACAAACCACACCAAACATGGCTTACCTGATCCAGCATGACCAGCGTACTTCAGCAGGCACTTCCCTGTTTCAATACTCCACAGCATGGCACAGTGATCTGGAAAAAAAGCAACACACAGGCACAGCACAGTGGCCAATTAGCTTTAATTTGCTCTATTAGGTGCTTTACGCTCTGTCATAAATGTTGAAGTGGAGCACTGTGTATCTCAAGAGGTCAGGGGTTTAATATCTGTAAATGGCTTTCTATTGGGTCCTTGAGCAAGACACACAAGTTGTTCCAGGGGACTAACCCAGCGGTTGGTCAATGTAAGTCAATATGGGGAGATGTAAAAGCAATGAATAAAAATGATGCCCCCAAGGAGCTGCATAAGAAGTCATTTAGCCTTACAATACATTTGGATTATAAGATCGGATCCTGACGGGTCTAGAACAGAGCACCAGTGACATTAACAGAGAATAGATGATATGGTTAAAGCGACTGTTTCAATGTACACAATTTTCTGCTTTCCACAAATTTGGTCGTTCAGCCAAGACAAGTTTAGTGTCTGAAGTTTGCTTTAGTTGTGGAGCTACAAGGCTAATGCAACTAACAAGTAATTGAAGCTTATATCCCACCAAATAGCACTGTGTAAACTGCATGCCTAAATCAATACATACAACTGTGCTGAAATGTTAAACTGGAATTCTGACCTAAAACTAGAGTTTTATCTCCCCAATTTAGTCGTCTCCAATTCCACCCGCTAGTTAGGACTCCCCCAATCACGCAGTACTATCAACGCTAGGAGGGTGAAGGCTAACACAGGCTTCCTCCGAGACCTGTGAGACCAACCACCGCTTCTTTCTGAACTGCCGCTCACGCAATGTCACTGGACAGCCGAACGCGCTCAGAGGAAAGCGCCAACCGCTAGATCTGTTATGTCAGCTAACAGACGCCTGCGCTGACTAGCATCGCGTTAAGTGATGGGGGGAGAAGGAGGGGCCATCCTACCCACCCAGAGAGAGCGAGGCCAATTGTGCTCTCTTGGACTCCCAGCTACGGATGGCTGTAGCATCACCAGGGATCGAACTCGTGATCTCCTGATGATAGGGCCAACGCTTAGGCGGTTGCGCCACTCGGGAGCCCCTAACACTAGAGTTTAATATATTATTTGTTGTTGTATTATTTTTAGTGTAGTATTGTACCCTTCAGCCTCATCAGCTTAAAAGAATGCATCAATGTTCTCTCACTACAATACCCACATGATCATGATCATGATAATCACAGCCACTGGGAATCCATGTGGTGCCAACCAACCCTGACTGCTGGCATAGCCACTGATCTATAGACTAATAAAGGCAATCAATGTAGTCAGTCATCAAACCCAATTTTGTTTTTCTTTATCAAAGACACAATTCAGTTGGACAACTGAATACAATCAAACAGGGTTAAGATATCTAGATATGCAGGAGGCCATCTTGCTAACTTTAGCTTTTAGCTTGCTGTTCTCCTCACCTTCTCATTTCTTGCATTTAAGTAATCCAGTACCTGATGAACCACAAAAGCAATCAAAGGTTCACGAGGTACTGGTGAACTATTCAAGTGAAAGCCTTTGCTTCTCTTCAGCAGCTAATTGTGCCATATTTTCAGAGACAGCTGAAATAAAGACTTCGGTTAATTGTTGTTAATCTTCTGTCACCTTTTCTAAGCCTTATCAGCCCTGTTATCTTTGTCTTAACATCTTAAAACTTCATGTGTATGTTAATACGTGGTAAAAGTGCGGTTAAAAGACAATTTTAATATAACTTTTCTTTGATAAAATTCCCAATTACATTTTTCATTTAACATAAAACTGAGTCTTTTGACATGCAAAAACAGTATCATCTTACTTGAATTTTCTATCAAATAAGTTCTTGTTGTCCACAAATCATTTGCTTTTAAATTTGCATTAGGGACACGTGATGTCTAAAAAGGTGTAGATTTTATCTTTGCAGAATTTTAGGAAAATATTTAGGCAAATGAGCAAATGTCTAACAGTGTTGACACGTAACACCATCTATTCGAGTTAAAAATGTATACTATTTCAAGAATATGTGCTCGAGATAGAAAAACAGTTGTTTCTGGTGGACCAATGGGTACTTAAATCAGGTACAATGCGGAAAAAACTAAATTCTGAAAAGTTGCAGGATGCAATTTGTCCTCTTTTCACAGAACAACACAAATTTGCTGCATGTGGGAGTCTGTACCTGCCGAGGCTGTGCCCAGGACCAGTGGCTGTGTCCTGGTCACACTCAGGTCCCATATCCCGTCCCTGTGTCCCACATACTCCTTCACCAGCTGGCATACTGCCCGTGATGTGGTGGCTTTGAAACTGGACACGATCTAAGATGGTTACAAGAAGGGTGAGAACCCACACACACACACAAACACAAACACAGATACACACTTAGCTGAGAAGCTAAAGAAGCAGCGCAGAAGCCAGGGGGCTGCCTCAGCAAACCAAACACCACTGGCAAATTCATACTCTTTCAACACGCACTACGTGTGGTCTTACTAAGGCAGCGTATTCACACACTGCAGGTGGTTGCTTTGAGAGTATTTACAGTCACACTAGCTCTTGCACTGTATCAGGGCCTATGGAAGGTAAGTGTGGCCTCTGATTGTGATCAATACTTCAGGAATGTAATAAAGCCAAGTACGCAGACATGAGGCAAAACAGAACACAAATAAAATCCCTGCGCATGAAAACAATAATAAAAAAAAGTCTCAGTCTGAGCTACAAAACTCTCAAAATGGAGCGCAGCTTGTAAATAATTATATTTAGTAAAACAAACATGTTTTATGTGAAATACAGAACACAAATTTCACAGAGAGGCTGTACAAAGTAGGCCTGGGTGATTCTAAAAAATAATTAGCATAAAATCACAATTAGTGATAATCGTCCTCCCTCAAGTCCTATGCAAAAATGCGCTGTATGCTCCACATTTCTTCATAAGCTTATATGTTTTTTTGTTTTTTTTTTCAGCATTAGCTGATTTAATGAAAATCTCATATAATACAATAACTAATAAATCTAAATTGTGTGGTAATAAACGGTTTTACATCTCATTTTGAAACCTGTGTCTACAAACAAGTGCATTCATGAGCTCCTGCTGGTGTGGGTACATGGCTGTTTCTTCTCTTTAAATGATGTACACAAAAGTGAATCATGATAACAGCTCCCCCTTGTGAAGAAAGACATACAATTATGTTCCCTGAAGACATACTGAAGACAGACCCTTGAGGGAACAGTGACAGTTTAATACCAGCTATATAAATATATAAGTATGAAAATAAAATAGATCTTTGTTTCCCACAGCTATCTTTAGCTGAATTCCAAAGAGCATCCACTACAATGATGAGAAAAACCTCATAAATAACATATGCTCTCTGGAATTCAGGTATAGATGGACGTGGGAAAATTTATTTTCATAATTTTCATGTGATCTGAACCACTGCTGTGCGGAATTTCCCTCAGACAGTATGTCTTTTTCCCAACTGTACCCTGAAGCATAGTTATGAGGTTGTCAATCATTGCCAATATCCAATTACCTCAACCTATCGCCCAGGCCTTTTACAAAGAGAAAAAAAACAATAATAAATAAATAAACATAAAAATAAAAACCATTGTGAATACAGTGAAGAGTATGTTGGGGTATATATATATATTTTTATACCAACTGAATTGTTCATATTTTTGTCTCTGGGTACAGGAACAAAGTTCTACAAATCTTTTTCTGTTTGTTATGCAACCCCAACCTTTTTCATAAGCACTTCTAAAAACAAAAGCAAACGTTGGCAGATGTTTGGCAAATCTGGAGAAAGTAGGGCAAAAATGATCTTTGTAACAATCGAAGTCATTACAATGTGCCTCCACTGAGGAAAAAATAACAACAGCAAAAGAAGTATTGAGTCAGAACTTGTGTTGGTGGTCACCCACAAAACATGTTTCAACTATGAGAAAACTGACTTCAAAGCAATCACGGGGCTGCAAGAGGTAAGCAGGCAAGCCGATATGCAGCCTAGCTACACTAGGTCAGCATAGCTACGCTCACTTCATATAGCAGTGAATGGAGCAATGCACACAGCAATCTCTCATTTCACTATGGTAGAAAATGCTCTTTACCTGGTAGTGATTATACAACTATTGTTGTACTATAGACTATCAGAGCTGCTAGTAAAAGTTTTTTCAAATGTAATGCTTCAGAAATTAGCCAAGACGTCAAGATATTACTACAAAAATTACACTGAGCAATGCTAAATACGAAAGAAGTGCTCAGCTACACTGACAAGACAACACATCCACATGTCAAATGGGCTTTTAAATCCATATCTATTAGCAGTTTGATTCCTTTCTGTACAGAGTTAAGCATCTGTTTGAAGTCAAAAAGTAGGATTAAAATTAGTCATTTTGAGGATTTGATACAATAAAGATAGTAAAATAATATAGTAATCTAGCCCAGCCACTCTCCAAGTTAATGTGACTGGTTAAGGAGAATCCCATCAATTCTTCAAAATTTCTGCATAATTCAATGACTGGGATGTAAACAAAGCCATTCAGAGTGATTTGAGAAACTTACTGACTCTGATTTCTTCACAGTGGTGATGATAGGAACCAGGGGTTGCCATGTCTACAATACAAATATATCCATTTCATTTGCTATCCAAAATTACCAGTTAACATTAACAATGGTAAAACTGAGGAAACAAATTGGGTAAATTTGACAACAGTCATTGACTTTCCCATGTTTAGCTCCCGCCGTGTGTATTTAAAGCCTGTTAGACCTGGTTAACCAGCCAGATAAAAGCTAGCCAGCTAACGTTAGCTAACATCCGAGTCTTGGTCAATGGCGGAATCCACACTGTGAGTAAAAAAGTGGCTAATCTAATTATCTGGATAAATTCATGTAAAAGTGATCAATATATAGGAAACGAATGGATGACAGTGCTCAAAATTTGTTCTTAAAAATATGATTTAACTTAACCAGAGAATTTGATTAGTCTCTGTTTAATCATGGCACAGATTCAGTCATTGACCGAGACCCCTAACAGCCTTTCTCCCGTTGTCTGGAGGGCACCTGCACCCCAAAAGGGGGGGACAGCATGCCAGTATAATGTTCATCCAGCCTGTATACATATCATTTTGAAGTTGCAAATTTACAGTTAACGATGTGAGGCTGAAGGGTTGACTGGCAGCCTTTGCATCGAGCATAACCTCCTGGACGGGTGGGCACAATTTAGATTTCTGTTTGTTAGCCAGATAATTGAAGGTTTTGCAGTTCAGTTATACTAGTAACAGGAAGCTGATGTCAGCTTCTAATTCGCCAGCTTCTTATTCAAATTTTCCAGTTCCACCTTAAATAGTGCAACAGTTATCTGCTGTACCATCCAAGGTGAAATGGGGAAATTCAAACCTCCATCCAGGAAGTTATGCTCGACGCAAAGGCTGCCAGTCAACCCGCTGAAGAGTAAAAGGCGACAGAGAAAAAAGAAAATTGTAATGTTTTTTTTGGGGGGTGGGGTAGATGGCAGCTGAAATATAGAAACTTGTCTGGTGAAATAGTTCTTTCACAGATTTTAAAAAACAGTTGTGCAGGGGCTTTAAACTCTTCAGATGTCTGGTTCCTATCAACACCACTGTGAACAATCCTAACTGAGTAAGCTTCTCTAGAACAGCGCATTTCATGTCAAACAACTCTAAATGACTTACATATTTAATTATGCAGCGATTTTAAAAAGTTGGTGGATTTCCCCCTTAAAGAGCTGAGCATGCTCAAACCAGGTGAAGTCATTAATGCAACAAAAAAGCAAATCTACATGTCTCGACATGTCTACAGTTTTCTGCTCTCTAGTAAAAGCTGCTTAAAGGAATGGAGCATCAATGACATCAAATAGATCCCAGTCTTTCAGCACCTCTTTTTGGTCCTTGTGGAAACTGTTACACAGACACAGGTTCATTCTCAGACCCCACATCAACACCAGGTCTGGGAGAAAAGTCTTTTTTCCATAGAGTTAATGCACAGACTAAGCGAAATCTGGACCAGAAGAACTCGCAGTGGGAGTTTTATTAAAAATAACGCTAATCAACGCTGCAGGGCTGTTAGAGCTCATCATGCTCATAATGACCTGCATGTGACTGATGAGGCATGATTTTGTCAAAAATAGCACATTAAGCACTCATAGCAATCAGCATTACAGCCTTCATGAAAACACTAATAGCACTGTTAAACTTAAAGTAAATGTACTGTTGAAATAGAGGCAGCAGTTTCAACAGGGACTGATCCAGAGGCAAAGGAAACACCAGATGATTTTCATTTTGCATCAGAAAATCATATTTTTGCAAATCACATGTCATTGAAAATGTCCTTTTTCTGTAAGAGGGACACCACAACACAGAACTATCCAGCAGGGGGAATCAGACTCTATGTATGGGTGGGAAATAAAAGCCTTTTGATTTAAAAATAGGTACTGAACAAAGAGAGAAAACCGATTCCTTCAGGAACTCCAGTAAACTACTCCAAGACTGGAGCTGGCCTTACCTGTCTGACATGTGCATCATTTACGCTTATATAAGCTTTAAGGTATTAACAAAAGTACCTCAGGCCAGACCAGAGTTAAACAATCCTACTGCAGAGGTTTTCTGGTATTAAAGGGGCCACATTGCTTTCTTGTACTTTACTTCCTCCCCCTACCCCCATCCTCCCCCAAGGTCCACTTGTGAATTTGTTTGTTTATTTTGTTTTTACTAAAAACACTCATAATTAATTTCACATGATCATTTACCAACCTTTATCTCTTAGAATTAAGCAGGCTGTTCTTTAAAATGTATGTATGAAAATGAGCTCTGTTCTTAATTGCCCTGTAATTTGTCTAATTAAACAGCAGTCTGGGCTGAAACACTCCTTATAGCTTCAATGTGAATGGGTGGGGCTAAACAGCTGTAGGCTGAATAGTTGGATATATGCAAAGGCATTGGTTTTTGTGACATCACAAAAATACTGAATTCATCACTGGCTGTTTCTGAAGCTTTATTTTCATCTACTGACTGTGTGGACGGTGAACAGTATATTTTGGAACTTTATCAGTATTTTGTACTACAACAAAGTCTTCCATTTAAAAAAAAGTATATAAAAGTATATAAAGTTTTCCATGATATTGGCCCTTTAATATAACCCTGAATTAGTCTTAAAGTGTTACTCCACACCAGCTTGCCAAGGGCCTGGCAGGTCACGTTTTGGACTGTCATAAATACAAAATCAAGACAAATTTTCTATTTAATTCATTCAACCATAGCAATTTTCAAAACTGTGCTCCAGAGAGTTCTTTGTTATGCACTGCAGAAGTATGAGCCATTAGGGTCTAAACCATGACGAGCTGAACTGCTTTCAGTATTCCTGACCTTGGTGGGAATTTTAACTGGACATGAACATGAAGCTAAGAAAATATCACACTGTGTCTTGTTAATATTCCCACGATTGGTTACTCAGTGGAGGGGGCACTTTTTATGACGACACATGAAATCTTTCATCTGCAGAATTTATGTTTAGATTTTCTGTAGTACTCCTACGTTTCTACATGACCTATGAATAATTCGTTACTAATGTCTCCTTGTAACTTTTAAGGCAACACCAAAAGTTCAGAATGGTTTACTACTGAAAATCCACTTCAGAAGCTTTTTTTGACTGTTTCCTTCAAACTTGTTCCTTTTTATGGATAGTTATGTCTGATTAACATATAAATCATTACAGATGTGCTATGATGTTTCTTGAACATGATGTTTCACTCGAGTAAAACACAAAATAAAGGAACAACACTATATTTCCAAATTCATCATCATAATGCTCCATTTATACAAAATAAAGTTATTTATTTTTTATTCTTTTGTTGTTGGAGGATCTAATATCCACAGACTCTCTTACAGAGGCACCCAACAAGCATCCTTTCTTACTGTGAGCAGTTAAAACTCAATATTTAAGATGCCCTTTAGAACCTGATGTGGTATATACATAATATATAAAATGAATATTGCACGGTTGCGTGAATTAAATTTCAGAATGAAATTAAAGAGAGAATGAAAAGAGTCCGATAAGCACAGATTCCCCCTGGCTTTAGGATAGTTCATGCATTCTGGCACACAGAGGAGGAGGAGGAGTTACAGAAGTTACCCATGAATCTCCACCCCACAACTCCCAGTTCCCCACACTGAAGTTGCGAGGTCCACCTACTTTGCCGTGGAAAGAATTTGAACGCTAAAATCGGTGAGAGCAAGAGAAAAGAGCAATTTCAATCCACTGGAACCCGAGGCAGGACACAAAGTTCCTACAGTCCTCCACTCATCACCCAAAGCAGGTTAAGCCTAAGCCTCGACAACAAATGTTTAAGTGTGAGTCGTCAGTGTCAGCACAATCTAGTCTTAGAATGGTCTTAATCTGTGTTTAGGAAACAGCTTCAACTTTTAAAAGCAATCCCCTTCCTATCAACCAAAATCAGAATTTTTGTGAACATAAAGACCGACTATATTTCCAGGTGGATAACTCACATCTAGTGTGCTTGAAAGCATCTCAATGTATGGTACAATTTACAGTTAATACAAACAGAACTTAAAGAATTGCTTCATTTGGAGCTGTAATGTCAAAAGTACAGCTAAATCCAAAGACAATACAGTGAATTCTTTACTTTTCTGGGTGAGGAAGTCATCAAGCACTATTACATGACCAATAAATGCACCAGAATGTGAACCAGCATGGTATTTTGACATGTTGATGAGATATTTACACACTTATTACTTTTTAAAGGGTTATTAATAGAGCTATAAGGTGATATAAAGGTAGTTATTTAGCTAATGCTAATGCTATTGCATCTCACCCTGCGTTGTGTCAAAAACAAAAACAATCAAGACGCTTAGTTTGCTTACATGGTAAACAAATAAGTGAACAAAAGTGCACAATTATCAAGCCATCATTCAATAAATGTCAATCCATCTATCTAGATTTTAAGCAGTGCTGCTAACCAGAAGAGAGGAGCTGGTCAGCGTTTGCTAGCATGATAATAGCTCTGCTCACCACAAAGCATGTGAAATACTGGCTAACTAAAGCACCGACACAAACTTAGATGACAATGATTCAAATCTGAAGGAAGTAAAGTCAGGCAACTGGCGTTAAAGGGACAGAAAGGCAAAGTTAAACCTGTTCTGTGGTGTATGGATCTGTAGCCTGGTCAGCTAACTTAACGTTAACTAAGCAAGCGGCCTATAGACCCAAACAGTGCCACACACCACAACACAGGTGCTCTGCTGACACAAGTGTAGATGATAAAAACTAATGTCTGAGGGAGTAAAAGTGTAGTGACTGGTGTTGGAGTGGCAGAAAGCTGAAACTGAACCTGCTCTGTGGTGTTTGGGACTGTAGTGTTTTGACTAAGCTAACAAAAGTTTAGTTATCAGGCCAAACGCGCCACACACCCCAGCACAGGCTTGGTTCCTGCTAACCAATACTGATGATACCTGTGAAGAGGATATCTCAGAGTGCAAAGTCAAGTAGCTGGTGTTAGAGTGAGCCAAAATCGAACGTCTTGTGGTGAGTGGAGCTCTTAGCTGTTACTGAGCTGTATCATGCTTCGTTTTTCTGAGGTTTATCTTGGCTCTGATTTCGCCCCTTTCTGTTAGCGCCACCTATCAGTGAGCCCCTCTAAAATATAAAGAGGTTGAATGTGTTTATTTGGCCATTCAAACATAGAAATTTGACGTCACAATTTTGAAATACTCCAACGATTTTTGACTACAGCGGTATACCTTGCTATATTTATACCGGCCAATCTTAGTGCAGCGTATACTCTTACAAAGCGAATCCTTCTTCATTAAACACAGCAATGAAATGTGTGGCTCGTATACATTTACAATTACACAACACAAAATTAACCACAAAAAGCCAGTAAGTTGTTATCCGGGGAAGATGAGCTTAACATATCTTTCCGTTTTTTTCTTGTTTAAATAACATTCAGGATTAGTACAAAATGCAGCACTGCTTGAATTGTCCACCTGGAAATAAGTTCTTTGCTGTTATGAAGTAACACAGATTTGTCCTACAACAGCTCAGTATAAGATTACAGACGTTTTGCTCTCCAGTTATAATGTTATATGAACAAGTGCAAAACTTCAGCTCCATTTAAACAAAGCAAGACTGTTGCAAAAGCTGTTTTTACATCTGATGTGCATGAAAACACTTTACTTGCCAAACAGACAATGCAGGCAACAGCTTAACAAGTCTAATCAGCAACAGTCGAGCACGATTTGCAGAGACACTGACACCCACGCTAAAGATCTGGTTCATGATCTCTGACTAATCCAATTGTGAATAAATATGATTTGTTTTCTGGCTAAGTGTTAAATTAATCTGCTAGATGGACTGGCCGACGGCCAGCCAGAGCAGGACTTTAAGCAGCGGTTTAAAGCAAACACAGAGAGATTAGCTTTGTTAGCCCAGTGTAGCAATGGTAATCCGAACAGATGGACTTGTACCTTGCTGGTGGAAGCCTTGTATGTGGTCTTCAGTTTTTGGGACAGCTGACTCGTACTGTGACTGGCTGCATAAACAAGAAAGGAATGATCAGAAACTTGATAAAGTAACTAAAAATGATCAGACAGAGGTTTAGCATGTCAGGCATTCATTATACACCATGGGTTGGTTTCCTGGACAGAGATTAAGGCCCAATCCCATTTCTTATTTTCACCCCTACCCCTTGTTTTCGAGTGTCACTTTGCCCCTTGGACCTGAGTTACATGGGGTAGTGGTTGAAATCTTCCCCTATGAAATGGGACCCTCGATTAAATAAGAACACTGCTTCATTAACAGAACTAGCGCTGCTCTGTAGGTGACCCTGCCAGTCTGCAGTGATAGCAGAGGAGGGTAAAGTTCAGCTCCTCACTGCTGGGCTTTAGTTACATTTAGGACATCATATGCCTTCAAAGAGGGGGGATAAGACAATTATTTATTATCACCCACCCCTAATTCTTTGGTGATATGAAGCTGAAGTGAGATATTCACCAGCTTCTAGTTCAAATTTCCCTGTTCCACCTTTAATGGTGCAGCAGTTACATTCTGGCGCTTCAGGCCTCAGAACTGCTGGACTATTTAAGGTGTAAAGGGAAATTTTGCTAGCTGGACATCAGCACACTACTAGCAAATTTTTATGGTTGTTATGAAGAAAAGGACCACAATACATTGAAACGACATTAAACTAAGATACTCCAAATGTTACAGTAATTTTTTTTTTAACAGAGAAAATTCACACATTTGTGGGGTTCTTTGGTCACTTGCGCAGCCATCCAGCCATTTTTTCTTTTTTTCTCATAACACTCTGTTTGGAGTCCGCCTCTGAAAAACTTCTGTTTGGAGGGTCATGTAGCCCTAACACTTCGCCCCACCCCTCCATGTCAACAAAAATCAGGACACCCTACCCCTAGGTGTGAACACGCCACACACTGTGGTAAGGGCTAAGTGGTAGAGGCAAGGGGTAAAATGGGATTGGGCCTAACACTAGAAAAATATAGCTGAGGACTGGGCTTAATCCTTGTCCAGAAAACTCACACTATATGTCCAAAAGTTTGCAGACACCTGTTCATCCAGCGTTCCTTCTGAAATGAAGGGTACTAATATGGAGATTATCCTACAGTAACAGCCTCTACACTAGATGTTAGTATGTTGTCGTGAGGAATAATCAACAGCGGCGGCTGTTCTTCCTGAGGAGACTTAAAAGCTTCGGGATGAACGCACCTGTTATGGGCAGCTTTGTCCGCTGAACAGTCACAGAAAATGCTCTGACTGGTTGCATTATGGTGGCTTGGCAAACTGACTGCCCAGGATCTCAGACTTCTACAAAGAACTGTCAAAACTGCTTCTACAGTCACAGCACTGGCCTCCCACAACTTCAAGACATAAAAGCATTCCGATGCGAGATAAGGGCTCAGTCCATCATCTCGGAGGCCTCGCACCCAACCCATGCCCTGTTCTTTCGTCTTCCCTCAGGCAAACGCTTCCGAAGCACCACAGTGTGCACCACCCTCCTCAGATACAGCTTCTTCCCCTCCAACTCATCTCAAAGGGTACTGGATGGGGCTCTATCAGCCCAGAGAACACAGTTCTACTGCTCCACAGCCCAGGGTGTCTGAATACTTCTGGACATCTAGTGTATGTCTGCGTGTACAGGGATACATTAAGAGGACTATAATCTTCACTAAAACAATGCTTAATGACAAGTGTGTCTCTTACCTTTAGTCTTCAGGGCTCCTTTACTAAGGTCTCCTCCATCTACAGTCTGGCCCTCACCAGCCAAGCGCTCGTTCAGGGACTCAATCTCCCTCCTCACTGCACAGTTAGAGGCAGCAAGATAACATTAGTGAGTCAGCATCAGTAAAATATATTACAAAGGAGTTCAGAGTGGCCTAAAACTTCAAAGTTTTATATGTGAACATTTCTAAAAATCAATCTCTCAAGAAATTTCCTCATATTAAACTACACAAAAGACTTTCTTGTATATTTAAAAGCAGTAATGCTACCTTTGATACTGAAACTCCAGAACACATGCCAAAAAACCAACACAGCTTACTTTGAATAATACTGTATGGATAATTGGTTCATTCCCTAAATAAATAAATAAATAAACAAACGTAAACAATGGCTTCAAAGCACCATTCAGAAACTGATTCAAAGGAAACAAAACCTGACGTGGGTTTCAATGGTTTTGAGCTAATTCCAAGCACTTTTATGTTTATGTTATAACTAGAAGGGACAGATGTGGGCTGGTTAGCCTGCAGCAGCCACAAGACCAGAGTAGATTTATAGCTGCTGTTCATCTTTTTGTCCACCAGGTGTCACTAATTTGCACACGGTTTAAAAGCTTCAAGTAGAGAACCCTCATCTGGTCCAATTTAAAGGAGAATTCTGTCGATTCTCGAGTTTCTGCGTAATTAAACTGTTCAACCCCTGGTTCATATCACCACTACTAAAAAGGATTCTGGGTCAGTACATCTCTACACAATGAACCATTTCACACCAAACTATTCTGAATGACCTTAATTACATCTTTACCACTCAATTATGCAGTAATTTTGAAACACTGGTGGAATTCCCCTCCTAAAGCTTTGAAAGAAACTGCACCAGAATTTGCAGAAAATGTCATATTTAAGGTTGTTCCGTGAAGAGGAATGTGTAAACTTGTTCTCAATTAGAAAAATCAACAAACCTCTCATGTAAATGGGGCGTTCAAAATTTTGCATATGACTGTATAATATCAAAACAGGAAGGTGACTTCCTGAATAAGCAGTAGAACAGTATTAAACACATTCATATTCATCAGAGTCTCTTGCAACAGAGTTTGGCTTTTACTCACGTTCAAGGTTTTCAAGGTAGAGATTCTCAAACTCGCGTTCAATCTGTCCAAACAGGTCAAGTAGGTTGCTCCTTAGAGCCATGGGCAGCTTGGAATCCTGCAAGGAGAATCACAGCACACCATCAGCTCACAAACATCCAAAGTCTTCACCATCTGATTCACAGATCTCCATATCACCCACATGACAGGCGCTGAACACAGGGTAGATTTCAAAACCATTCGGAAGTACTACTGTACTGTGAAGTCACTTCCCGCACATGTTGCAACTGTCAGTGAAAATTTAAAGCTACAGACAAGCAGGAAGGAAGCTAATAGAATCACTGGGGACCTGTTAGACACAAACAGTCATGTCTGATGTTTTTAGACTTTCTATAGTGCTTAGAAAACTTCCCATGTCTCTACATACAATTCGCTATATGCTACGGCTCCCACAGAGTGTAAGGATGGATTTGTCTGCTATAAGCTTCAAGGTATCTAAGATTACATGTGCATTTTGCTAGCGGGCTCCTTCTCAATATTACGACATGCAGGTTGCTATGGAAAGCTTTTTGCTGAGGTTTTATCTGGGTTTCTTCTTGCTTAGCACCTGTTTTGGTAGCCTGTTTAATCATTAAAGGCCAAAAAAAATGTAATTTGAAGGCACTGTATTGGCTAATAATGCTGAGCAGTGCGCTGTAAATATGTAGCCAAACTTGGTATTGCCTGTTTCTGTGATGCCACGGCACAGTATGCAGTGAAAAACTCAACCCATGAGGTTAACATTCACTGCTATGAGACAGCAGCAAACGAAAAAGACGCAAGTCTTAGGGTAAACAAGCAGTTTTCAGCTAAACCATGAGACTTAACAGCTATGCAAGTGAGTTAAGCCTCTTGTGGCATGTGCGATGAGCCAATAGGGCAATTTTTTCATCATACCCCGTAAATACAGTAGCACTACAGGAAAGGATGATGTACAACTGAACGTGTGAAGTTTCTGTTTCTCTATTAATTAACGTTTTTTTAGATTTGATTTCAATTTAACATTTGGGTGTCTTACAGGCAAAAGCAGTCGAACACCTGAACGCTCTTTAGAAACTCATTTCAGACGTTCAACCGTACATCATCAACCGTAAAATTAAGTTTCAGATTTTATATTGCTTCGAAAGTTTGAAAAAAAAAATTCATTTCAGTTCAGAATTCATATCCGGTGATATGATAGAGATTTTTTGCCTTTAACTTCAAATTTCTACTCTTTAGCTTTAATAGCTAGAATAATAATATCTGTATGTACAGTGATATGACCCTATTTGTATTTTTTATGTTTATTTTCTTCCTAATTGAGTCAAATAATGTACAAGATACGAGTACTTCCTGACCTAATTATTACTACATGAATATATATTTTTTTATCGTTGTTGTTTATTTTTTCTCTCTCTTCTCTAATATTGTTTTAGTTCAGGTTATGATGTAAAATGTGGAACATTTACAAGTGTCTGTAATCCCGTATCTGCATAGACCCACAAATAAAAAATAATGTTCAATTCAAATTTCTAACAGCATGAATCAATCTCAATATACTTCATATCAAACTCAATTTAAATGTCAACAAATTTTGCTGGAATTTTGAAAAATCGGTGGAATTTTCCTTTGTCCAGGAAACGTGGCCCAACTGTGTACTGTAAAAATGCCTGTGACATACCGCATATATTTCAATGCACTATAAGAGGTGGGAACACATTAGTAAGTCTAACATAGAAGGGAAACAAACAACACAAAGCCTACATCGGTCTCTACTCCAGCAACAAACAACTTACCTCCATTCTTGAGACCAAGCGGCATCCAGAAAAGCACTTTCAGCCAGACTAAAACTACACAGAGAAAAGTGGTGCGCAAACAACAAAAAGAAGTAGAGATAATATAACTGACTGTGCATTTGCTCCTTCTTCCATAATGAGGCCAGTCTGAAACCAGGCCAAACGGACACTGTAAGCTAACCTGCCAGAGAAGACTCGAGTGGACAAAGCAAGGTCAACTGTCACTGCCATATGTACACACACACACACACACACACACACACAAAAACGCACTGAGGGGGGGCGAGGAAAGAGCCAATTAGCAAACAATGACCGGCCCCTTATTCTCATAAAGCCACTCAGCCCTAAAAACATAGAGGTGTCCATGGTAACCGAACATAATGACAACGCTGGGAGAGAAAGGCAGTGTATCACAATCCTCATGAACAGCTTACAGAGAGGGCCCGTCAATCAACAGCGAGTCAACAGGTAGCACAGAGGGACAGAAAGAGGCATTGAAAAGAATAATCGATCCCCAACATGCGCCATTCATTAACATTTGATGAGTTATTGGACCTGAAGCTGTGGTAGATTTGGGCCAGGGGCAACATAACAATGACAGGGTGTAGCAAATAATAAAAGATGTCAGACTATTAAACTGAACAGGGGTTAGGCTTCAAATACACACCCACATAAAGTATAGACTTAAAGGTAAGGGCATAAAAATGGAACTTCAACTGCATCGATTTGGAATATTAGAATCCACAATAATCAATTCTAATCATACACAGTGAAGCCTTCATTCCTTTTTTTGGTCAAAATAATATTCACAAGACATTTTCAACAGTACAAATCCTAGAAGGTCTCTATTGTACTATTATGTAATTTGTTCCTCTCATCATATCTGTGTATTTTTTGCTCTTTTATTTATAATGTTTATATTTTAGACAGACAGACAGACAGACAGACAGACAGTTAGGAGGTTGGTATAGCATAGTGGGTAACACCTCTGCTTTCTACTCTGTAGACCTGGGTTCAGCCCCTACCTGGGCAAGCACCCTACACTACAGCAAGAGAGCAATCCTGGTCCTGAAGATCTACCACCCTGGAGACTTCAGATCCAATATACCTGGCTCTAATGTTCAGATGCCCCTGGATCAAGTGTGTTTGATTAGGGCTGGAGCTAAACTGTGCAGGGTGGTAGATCTCCAGGACCAGGACCCCCGCACTTCGGGGAGTCCTTGGGCAAGACTCCCAACACTACCTTCACCTACCTGTGTGCAATGATCAAACTGTAAGTCGCTCTGGATAAGAGCATCTGCCAAATGCCATAAATATAAAAGTAAACAGTAATAAGTAGCAAACTGTAACGTTGTTAAGTAATTAATAAGGTTAATACCTTGTTTGTTAATCCTGTTCTTGATACTTCTTTTTCTTGAGTGCCTTGCTCTCCCTTTGCTGCTATAGCACTGTGAATCCTTTATTAGTCCCACACCAGGGATATTATCTTAGTCAGTGAATTTGTTGAATAATATCAAAATAATCTAATCAAATAGAACCGTGTGGATATTTGTTATTTAAAATATATATATATATATATATATATATATATATATTTCTCTAAACCAGTGGGTGCCCAACTTTTTAAAAGTGAATTCCATCCGTTTTTCAAAATTTCTGCATAATCTAACAGCCAAGATGTAAACCAAGTCTTTCAGAGTGGCCTGATGTGGAACAGTGTCAGAATTGTTCACAGTGGTGGTGATAGGAACCAGACATCTGAGGAGTCTGAAGCCTCTGAAAGTGCCCTTACAGAGAGTTATTACAAACCATGGTTATGAATATGCTGCCTGATGCCTGAGACAATGTTTTATGATAGCTTTGGGATAAACTTTTGGCCCAAAACATATTTTCAGAAGACACGTGTAGATTCACTGGTCATTTTGAATAGTAAATTGTTGTGTTGTAGACAGTGACGTCTGGTTCCTATCACCACCACTGTAAATAATCAGAGTCAGTTAGTTTCTCTACAATGAACCATTTCACACCAATCCATCCTGAATGACTTTGTTTACATCTCAACCACTGAATTATGCAGAAATTTTGAAACATGAAATGTATGGAACTCCCATTTAACAACACAGACTGATCCACAGCCGGGAACACAGCCTATGTTTTGCCATTGTCGAGGAATGTAATTGGATGCCTTCATAGCCGCATTCATTAGTGCATCCCCGTATACAACACACAATGGATTCAAGTCATTAGCCAAATCCCCAGTGGTAATGAATTTATAGTATATATAGTAGTCTTCAGGTTTTCGATTAAACTGAGCTTTTTTCCTGGTATCATTTTCATTCTTTGATGTTTCTGTTGTATAAAATGTGTGGTAATGTTTCCAATTTTTTTTTAACTTATGTTAGCCTGCAAATAACAACAGCCAACAGCACCCTACATTAGGCCATACAGAGACAGGACATAGGCCTATATATTTACAGTTTTGTGCAAAAATATGTGCATTTCTGGCCAAGTTACATATTTTGCTATTTTGTAAGTGAAAATAAGTTAACACATTCCCTACAGCGAACACACTTCTGCACATTTTAATGCAATATTACTGTTTATTTGCTGAATTTAAGACAATGGGAGAAAAAAGGCTTGTGCAACAGTCATGGTATACTTTTTATTATTATTCATTTCACAATATGTTCCAAAAGTCAGCAAATAAATAGAAATCGTGCACTAAATTCTGCAGAAAATGCCACATTTAAGTGTATCCTCCACAGAGGATGTGTTAACTTATTTTCACATGGAAAATCATCAAAACATATCATTTGACCAGGGGTGCCTAAACGTCTGCATACAACCCTGTAATGACATAAAATCAGTTTATTTTAACCCAAGTTTTTAATGGCACGAGTAGAAAAAAACTATTATAAAAAATGTTTTATAAATTACATCAACTATTATGATAAAACAGAGACAACTAACTTTCTCCTGCTCACTGCCGCACTTGCTGTGGCCCGGCTGGAGCTAAACTGGTACTGTTGGGATCTGAAACCCTAAACAATCATAACTGAACTGAACCATTCTGAGGCCAGAGACTCACGTCTCCACTTAAAAGTCAAACTTACGACCTTCCTAGATCATTTATCAACGTCAGCGCTGAACAGCTTTACCTGTGCAACTGACTGCAGAATGTTCTGATCACAGGCTTAGTGTTTGACATAGCATGGTTTAATGTATTTCTTATCTGTGTTTGCATAGGGAATGTCCTCTGATAACACAACATTTTTAGGACAAAAGGGGTGTGCTAAGGGCTCCAGATCACACAGTACAGTCACAGCACTCAATCAATGGAGGAACTACTCATTTACCAAAATAGTTAACTGCATCCTGGTTTCTGGCACTTACCCGAGAGCGAGAGCTGAGCTCTTACATAAATTACTCTCGCAAATACTGTAACTATTGATCTAATATGTAAGAAACTGTTTGCTGTTCTCAGGTGTGACTGTGGTGTTTAAATCTTACTTAAACCTCAACAAAAAACGACCATGTAAAGCCTTTTAGCCATATTTCAAACAGTCCTATGTTGTCGTCCAAGAAGCAAAACCACAAGGCAGAAGTAGGAGAATGTGTGCAAAGCACAAGCAAAACTCACAGTCGAGTGACATATTCTAATCCGTTCTATGACGATGCCAGACAGTATGCAGCAAATTTCTTGTGCAACTTGAATTTACTCCAAATGTATACATGACTTTCACATCAATAAAATATAATTACATCAACATAATTTTGTCTTTTACCTACATTTGGTAGTAATTGTGTTGATGTAATACGTTTATCTATGTGTGAATGATGTACACAAGTACATTCATTGCTTTCCAGTGTACAGTTTCAGTAAACATCCATCATTATATCGCTGCTATCGAAAGACAACCTCATATCTTTTTTCAGTTTGTGACATAATTTGAAAATGCCTATTGTCCTTTAAATTGTGTGTACATTTCATGAAGAACGGACCAACAGAAATGGCCCAAAATTACTTGAAAAAAATGTCCAGTTCCATTGACTTACATTAAAATTAAAGTAGGTTTTTTTCTTCTCCTGTAAAGTTATCATTTTGAAGATACAAGGTTTTTCAGACAACAGCGTTATACAGAGCCCTTTAGAAACAGTGTGCCAATACGCTTAGAATGTAAACAAGACATTCTAACAATGATGAAGGGAGTGAATACAGAGGTTAATCCACAGTTCTCAACTCTCGGTTTGTACTGCATGTTCGACAATATTAGGAATACGAGCAATGTGATAACACTCGATCATATACTCTTTTCTGAGGGTCTGTTGTATGATACAAAACGACAGATTTACACCAACTACAGAGAATTCATAAACAACAAACAGCGTATAGTCACTGTATAGCAGCAAGTAGCTGATTGGAAGTCAGCCCACTGGATTATTATATTGTTCCTCCCATTCCTTCTTAAATAGTTTATTTTTGCAGGTGTTGAAATGAACAAAATAAGTTCAGCATTACTTTTTCATATGTCATTTTAAATATAACGCTGCTGCTTTGCTGGTGCATTTTGTTCACTTCAAAACCTCAAAAAACTACAGCGATACACATCATTTATCATGAAAACGTCTCCAAGTGCTGTTACATTTTAGTCATATAGATAGAGAATAAAACAGAATAGAAATAAAGTGAGAGAAACAGACAGAGAGAGATAAGACACACAGAGAAAGAGACACAACAGAGATAGAGAGACCAATATGCAGACAGAAAGACCAACAGAAAGACAAAGACAAGGTTTGGTAGAGAAATACAGACAGCAATAGGAAGACATAGTAATAGCGAGAAATAGAGATGGACAGACAGACAGACAGAGATAGAACGAGAAACAGAGAGTTAAAGATAGACAGAGATAGAAAAATACAGAAAAGCTAGAGATAGAAATGGATAGAGAGATGGACAGACAGATAGACAGACAGCGAGATGGAACATATATATTATACATATACATATCACTGTTGCTGGAAGAAAACGTCGTATCTCCATCTTTGTTGTTTTTCAGTTTGTGACATAATTTGAAAATGCCTGTTGTCCTTTACATTGTGTGTAAATTTCATGATGAATGGACCAAAGGAAACGGCTAAAAATGGCTTGGAAAGAAGTCTGAATCCATTGACTTTCATTCAAAGTAAAGTATGTTTTTTCCTTTTGCAGATACAAGGTTTTCTTCCGACAACAGTGATAAATAAACATAATTACACCTTACACGAGATATATAAGGAGAACGAGAGAGGGCCCTAGGCTCACCTGTCCCTCCAGCATGTCTCTGTGGATGGCGGGCCGCTCCTGCTCCGTGCTGTTGGTCCTCCGGATGGAGAGGCTGTGCGACTTGCGCTTCTGCTTGGCTTGACGGGCGGCTGCACTGTTTCCACTCTCTACAGGCATCACTCCTCAGTGACGTCCCACTGCGCACTTCCTATCTGGAACTGAGCAAACAAGCACAGAAAGGTTTGCTCCGGCCCACTGCGAGCAACGAGAGGCTTTTCTCCCTCTCGAGAGAAAGAACACTCCTATTGTTCAGAGTTAAGAGAGGCTAATGGAGTTATAAAACCGCTTTCGCCTGCGCAATGTAACTAATGGAATGTCCTAATACCGCAGCCATAATACACCCTACACAAAAAACTGTCTTAGTCTTAACGTGTCCTAACGCTGCAGTCTGGGAAGCAGAAGTGGGTGCTGATTTCTAACTAACTAACTAATCTTTACTTATACCTCTGAAAGCCTGACGTAAACTTTAGAGAGCAAAATGCAAAGAAATTTGTTTGGATTTACTTGTCATTAGTATTTTTGTTATTTTATATACAATAATAACTTAGATTTTAGATGTTTTATTTAATGTCAAGAACTCTTTGAACAGGTTATTAAATGATAAAAATATCACAAATACCTATTGATATGTTTTGTCAAGTTATCTGCCACTTATGAAATATAATGGATTTTAGATATTTTAGAATTAAATTTAATTTAATTCTTGATGTTGTACAGCTTTCACAGTTGTGTCCGCTCATCATTCTGGACACATCTAACATTTCTAAAAGGGCATTTTTTTCTGAGGTCCACTTACGACATTTAGTGGCTTTATGAACCAAAACAGTCAGTTCATTTTTACATTTATATTTTTTTTTTATCTTCTAGAATTAAACAGTTTGTTTAGTTAATGTTCTTTTAACATTTCACACATATCGCTGCTGTCTAAACAAAACCTCGTACCTCCATTTTTGTCAGTTTTGGCATAATGAATTGAAAATGCCTGTTTTCCTTTACATTGTGTGTAAATTTCATGAAAAATGGACCAAAACAACTTTCTGGTTCCATTGACTTACATTAAAAGTAAAGAATGTTTTTCCTTTTCTTGTAAAGTTACCATTCTGGAGATATGAGGTTTTCTTCCGACAACAGCGATATACTAATGCATATGTAAATGAGCTCGGTTCTAATTGGCTGCACTGTATTTTGCCCCTACTTCAAAAAACAGTCCATGCTGAAACACTCCCTACAACTTCAGTGTAAATCTGCAGGGCTGGACTGCTGTGGGCTGAATATGGGGTCATATGTAAAGGTAGGGGTTTAGTGACATCACAAAAACAATGAATTCAAAACTGGCTGTTTTTGCAGGAGTGAACAGCACATTTTGAAACCTTAATGACACTAAACTTTAATTTCAACAAAACAAAACAAGAAAAAACCTGGTTTGCTATCATATAGGCCCTTTTCAATTTTCAGCACAGGACTAACATGTTAGACTCGCTTTATACCCTTATCTGCAATCAAATGCGTTTAATATTACAGAAAACAGTGTTTCCAAACTTTTGCACAGTTCAAGATTCATATTAAATTAAATTCCTCAAAAACAACGGAAAACGAGCGTGTTAAGCAGCCCAAGCATTCTGAATGGAGCACATAAGAAAACAACCATACAGCAAAAAACAACAGTGAATAAGACGGCATGCAAAAGAAAAAAATAAACAAAATACCAGGACAGTGAAGCGCAGTGAATGATAAACAAAGCAGACACATCCTCAGGCCGACCGCTTAAAGGTGTACGTGGGTCTCGGCGTGATGCGGGGGTCGCTCTCCGACACTGAACAGAAAAGAACACGTTCTATGCATCTAAAGGGATGGACAAATGAGACAGTAAATGCGGCCAAGACGAGCTGGTTAGGCAGCATTCTCTCACACACACACACACACACACACAAATAAGAGCTTGAACAGAAGGAGGGAGGAACATTAGACGGCTGGAGAGAATGCAAGATAACTGGCAGGCACTGAGTCATGTTATTAGTAATGCTACAGCCTATAAGCTGGGCAAACAGCTAGCTCTCGCTCCGTTACATGCGACATGTTTATGAATCTGATAGACGGGTGCGACGTCCACATGCCTGAAAAGAGGGAGGCCAAAGAGAGAGTCCTAAACAGAGGCAGGCAGAGTGCCCGAAAACCATCCTCAAGTCAAAATATAATTATTTTGATGAAATAATGAATCATACAGAAGTAAAATTAGCACCTAAAAGTTAACCAGAGTAAAAAGCATCAAGTCAAACTGCACTGGAACGTCCTAGTACAACCAGCGTCTCACCTATCAGCACAGGAATATAAGATTGTTGGTCCTATTCTTCTCTTTTTAGGATTTTTTGGGATCTTTTCAGTAAATCTCCAACTGATGAGTGTGAACAATAGCAAAGCTGTGCAGGTACAGAATGAAATGAAACCCAAAAAGCAATGAGGAACTAAATGTGAATGACTAAAACGCAGCTGAGTAACACAAGTAATGCAGCTGATTCCTTCCTTCATAAATACACTTCAGTAAATATTCAAAATTCCTGCATAATTCAATCATTAATCAAAGTCATTCGGAGTGGTTTGATGTGAAATGCTTCACTTTAAAGAAATGTACAGACTCAGAACTGTTCTCAGTGGTGGTGATAGGAACCAGGCGTCTGAACACTCTGATGCCTTTGAAAGCTCCCGCACAGAAAGCTATTTCATGAAAGGGTAATAAATATACAGACTGATGCCTGAGAAGGTGTTTTACCATACAAGTTTAAACAAGTTTAGACTAAAATGTGTTTTTAAAATTCGCTGATGGAGGACAGGAACACGCAGCACACTGACAGCTTATTTTATTGGATTTACAGCTATCCTATCATTATTGGTGTTGCATATAAAGATTCTGAACTGTAAATAAAATAGACAGGTTAGATTTTGTGACGCCTGGTTCCCATCACCAGCACTGTAAAGAAATCTGTGTCTCTCTGTGTGTATATATATATATATATATATAAATCTACATGCTTAAGCAGTTCTTTACGGGGGGAAATGGTTCCTCAGATTGATGGAGAATGTGTCGAATATGGCTCTATACAGAACCTTTTTTTGAAAATGGTTCTACACAGCACCCAAAAGGGTTCTTTTATTATTACATGCTTGATATTGTAACAATACCAGAACACTTCTCAGTGCTATATAGAACCATTTTCAAAAAAGGTTATATACAGAACCATGTACAACACATTCTTCATGAATCTGAAGAACTATTTCTATAATTATAAAGCTCATGGTTCTAAACAGAACCACTGCCTTTACTAAAGAACCATCTTTTTAGAAGTGCTGTTATGTAGCTAGCAAATTTAGCTTAAATCAACCAGCAGCTGGCCAGCTAGCCAGAGCCGCCCGGCTGAGTCGTGCTCCGTTAAAAATCACCATAATCTCGACGGCCGTGTCAAACTGCACGAAGCTGAATTTGGCCTCCTATTCGGCCGCTTCTTGTCCGAATTCTCCCGCTCTACCTTAAATGCTGCAGCAGCAGTTACATGTAACGTTAACTGTCTCATGTAACCGCTGCACCATTTAAGGTGGAACGGGGAAATTCGGACAAGAAGCGGGCGAATAGGAGGCCGACTTCAGCCGCGTTCAACCCGCACAGATGAAATGTCGAAGTCGGTTCACAGACCCGGTTCTGCTGCCTGCTGTCCTGTCGTAGTGACGGTGCAAGGCAAGGTCAGGAGCTGCTGTGTTTATGTAGCCTGCTCTGGGCGCTAGGCTAACAGTTAGCCGGCAGCTAAACCCAGCTCCTCTATCAAAACATCAGCGGCTACACCGCTTCACCGTAATACTCACATTTCTCTTACGAAGCAGAGGAGGCTGTTTCAGTCATTCGCTGGATGCGTGATGGCTCGTCGGTGAAGCACACAGCATCTTCCAGGAGGTGTTGGTGTAACAGATTTTGGGTTTTTCCTCGCTGGGAGAAACGCAGTGAGAGTTCAGCTAAACTCGGAGCTTCTCTACCCGAGACTGTCAAAGCAGAGAGCAGGACGGACATTACCTTCAAAATAAAAGTCCCTGCTCGTGATCGTTCTGTTTTGGCTCTGCTTGTGTTATTTGGCACCCAGCTGCTAAAATAAATCCAGTTCAAGGGAGCTTTCTTTAAATTACACACAAAATATATCTCTGCTCAGTGTGAGTGGTAATGGTGCTCTACCACTCTGTAAAGCCATGGGTACTTAATACTTTTAAAAAGTATCTATTATTTAATAATAAAGTATTTATAATTTGGTATGTATTTAGTAACTTATGCTATTACAGTACACAAAAAGTAACGTATTCAGAACACATTGAGAATACGTTTAAAGTACACCTTTTTAAAATCTAATTTATACTGTTCCTCACTGTTTTCTTCATGTAATTAATACGTTTCATGGAAAATTCCTTGTCATTCAAAAAAAAAAGTATATTTTTTCTCTCACCGCCTGCTTCAGTCCGCTGCTGCTCTCACAACCCCCAGTACAACACCGCTGCTAAATGTAACACTCGCAAACATGTCAACTACTGAGAAGCTTATTAGTTTGATCATCCCTCAGAAGAGTTCGGTAATACTGAGATTAATAACTGATCATCACATTGATTTATCAGTCTACTCAGGCTTTAGCAGAGCTCAGTAACACTGAGATTAATAACTGATCATCACATTGATTTATCAGTCTACTCAGGCTTTAGCAGAGCTCAGTAACTCTGAGATTAATAACAGATCAGATTGATTTATCTGTCTATTTAAGCTTTATCAGGAACTTCACTGTTTGTAAATAAGCCATAAATTGAGG